TACCCCTCAACTTACTGAGCACTACAACATCATGCTGAACACCCTCGCTCGCCATGCAGCATCTGGAACGCCGATAGATGCAAGCGCTGCTTTCATGGATCTCTTCTTTGATGTCATTTCGCATCTGTCGTTCGGAAAGTCCTTCAACACGCTGACCAATGGGCAACGCAACCCCATCTTGAGGCACTTCCTCAAAAGACAGAGAGCTGTCGGATATGCGCTACTCAACATGTGGATGCTCCATCTCATCAGAAACTTGGCCATGCCACGCAAGAAGCTAGAGGACTGGGAACGCTGGTATGACAACGCTCTTGAGGAGCGCAGAAAGGTTCGCCGATCTCACTAAGCTGTTCTTATTTATTGTTAACTCTACTAGATGCAAACCACGACACCTGATATATACACCTACCTGTCTCAGTCTGATGAGTTCGAATACAACGGCGCGCGCGAGGCTAAGCTGGCTGTCGTCGCTGGCGCTGACACAAACGCTATCACCGTATCCAACGTTTGTAACTTCCTTTGTCAGCATGGTGAATACCAAGCTCAGCTCCATGAGGAGTTGAGCGGCCTGCCGATATTGAATGGCATCATCGACGATCAACATCTGATTGGCAAGCCCTACCTGACGGGTATCATCAATGAAGCTCTGAGGCTGCACCCGCCCGTACCAAGCGGTCTGCATCGTCTGACACCTCCAGAAGGTGCTGTGATTGCAGGCCGTTTCATTCCAGGAGATATGGTCGTCACGACACCCACTTATTCTCTTCATCGAGGTACGTGTCTTTCTTTGACGAAATGTTCATACTGATATCTGTAGATCCTCGCGCGTTTCTCCAACCCGACGAGTTCATTCCTGAGCGCTGGTCTTCTCAACCTGAACTCATTCTTCGCAAGGATGCTTTTTTGCCTTTTGGCTATGGAGCCTACAACTGTGCTGGAAGGCCGCTGGCTCTGTTGCAGTTGCGCATGGTCGTTGCCATGGTTTGCAACCGTTTTGAGATCTCATTTGCTCCGGGCAAGGAAGCCGAGTGTCTGCAGTTTCAAAATCAGGCCGACTGCTTCACGCTGCACTTGGAGCGACTGCCGTTGCTGCTCAAAGAGAGACCAAACGGTAGGTAGTAGGGCGCGTACTTCGGACTCTTACCTCGTACGCGGGTCTTCGTGCGATTCTTCCACAGTGCAATGATTCTCAGGCATTCACGGATATTCTCCTGCTCTCAATAGTAGCATTTCACCAGATCAACAACACTGCGCTTTCACTGTTGCGCTATGCTAGTGATATGGCGATGAAGATCTACCGGTCCCCGTCGCATAACCATCTTCCGTTTCATGATCTTCGTACTCAACCCGCAAGAGTTCATTCGCAACCAATAACACAACGCATTTGAGACGCGATAGCCAACTTTCCATTTTACGCTTTGCTTCCCGCTTCACTAGTCTCAACCCGCTAGCATGGGTGTGCTGAGAGAGATTCGCGCACGTATCTTCAAGAAAGGCAAAGCAGCGCAGGACCCCAATCACACAATGCGCAACATCGTTGACTCTGAAGAAATACTGGTACCTTCACCACCCTCATCTCTGGGTCATCGAACAACGCACTATCTGAAGAAGCGGGGCAAAGCCGTCGGAGTCTGTATGTTGGCCAAACTCAACTTCATCGATACAAATGCAGATACCAGCGAAGCCTACCTAGGTAGATCAGCAACTCAAAGCGCGAAAACAAACGTAAGAGCGAGCACATACCGCGAACGCTATGTTCCCGTCCGTCATCTAGGCACTGGCGGAAACGGCGAAGTCGATCTCTGCCGCGACACCAGGATCGGAACGCTTGTCGCGGTTAAAACCATCTATCACGATAATCCAAGATCTCTACCTAACGAGGTCTCCATCTTACAACAGCTGGGTCGTCACGACAACTTGGTCTGGTACCACACCATGCTGCACCATCCGACGCGAGACCTGCGCCTGCAGCTTGTCTTCGAGTACTGTCCCATGGGCGATCTAGTTGACTACCTAGAAACCTTCGAAACCCAACCTCCAGAGATGTTCATTTGGCATGTCTTCAAACACGTCGCGAAAGGACTGAACTTCCTGCACCGACGCGGCGTCGTACACGGAGATATCAAACCCGCCAACATCCTCCTCACCACCCATCGCTCAGGTGAACTCTACCCACTCCCTAAAATCGCTGACTTGGGCACAGCATGTATCAACCCACCGCACGATATCCCACAATCCCATCTCGGGACCCTCGGTTTCCAGGCCCCAGAATCAGCGCTTCGGTATGGACCTGCGGCAGATATTTGGGCACTAGGCTGTGTAATCCATGAGCTCGCTCTTGGCTACCTGCCTTTACAGCGCCTGGAGAAGCCAGAAAATGTGAATCCCGAGATGTGGTTTGAAATGAGCGGTATGCCCATCCCGAGAGGGACGAGTCATCATCGGATATACAAGGAGTTTTGTTTCTTCATGGCTTTCCATCCCCCCTCTCGGGTACGCATTGACCATCCTTCTCCGCTCACATCGACGTCGTATAGTAAGCTTCTGAATTACCTCATGATGCGCGCACTGGATATGAATCCACATACGCGTATCACGGCGCACGAACTCTGTCGCATAATTCCGGAGCTCGAGCCGCTTGTATATGGCTTGCTGGTTTTGGGTCGAGAAGCCCTTCTTGAGCAGTTTGATGAGCGGAGAGATACGGAGTGGGGAGATGTTGTGTATGTTACTGATTCTCAGGTGCTGAGGCAGATCTTCGATGGGCTGGCGGAGCGTGCGAATCAAGAGTGGGATATGGGGATGCTGCAGTGGGCGACATGTTTGCTGCAGCTTATGCGGCCGGAGGATCAGGTGGCTGCGTATCGGTTTGTGGCGGATATGGGGATCTGTGGTGCATCTTAGGATGGGTGGAAAGGCGCAGTGTTTGTTGTTGCCTTGCCTCATTTACAATTTCTCGTTTGTACACATGCTTTGTGACGCCCTGTCGGGATCGTTTTGACTTGTGTATAGCGGGGTGTAAAGAAGAAGCAAATTGCAACAAGGCATTATTGTGTCTCTCAAACCGACTATGCAGAGCCAAGAAGACGTTGAGAAACGTCAAAATAGCACATGAAATTGTTTCAACACCATTGATTTTTCGCGGATAAAAGATATACATTGCATGCCAGAAAACAGAAAACCTGTGTAGAAAGACGAAATCGTAAACAAGATAAAGTGTCTGCTTCGTCTTTTCATATCAGGTACTGTCTAGCCATTATTCCCTTGACAAAAATTATAAATCGTAACTCATGTGTCTTTTTCTCGCCATCGTCATATAGATGGTTTGTTTGAGAGAAAGCAAACGCGCAACGCCCCAGTCATACCATAGCATCAATCTCGTAAGTCATTTCAGCGCCCTAGGTAACTCGGAGCCTGATCGGTTCGGGCCACTTCCCAAATACCAGCGTCCCTCAAAACGTATGATTCCGCCGCGACTCATCCTCTCCCTCATGCGGCTGTCCAACACTCTCTGTCTCGGCAGGCGTTACCAACTTCCTCAGATCCTCAACCGCCATATTCGCCCACATGAGGACAAAGTCGAGATGGCTCTGTAGATCCTTCCTGACAGCGGCGTTGTACGGGCCTGTAACCAAGAAAAAACACCAAAATGTCAGCCAATGAACTCTTCCTATGATCAAGAATAGATCAGATTACAAGGACTTACCAGAAACAAAGCCCTCCCTCCCCAACCGCCCACTTCCACCCCCACCATCAACCTCCCCCCTAACCCTCCTCGCCGCATCCTTCACCCCCTGAACCGCTGCCTCCAACTGCAGCACGGCTACACTCCTCGCATCCCCCTCAACCCTCCTTACACTTCCCACGCCGTTACACCCCAAGCACAGCGGCCGACAATCCTTGGCCTCGTGCCCACGCGCCTCTTTTCCCTTTTCCTGCGCGCAGATGGTGCACGTAAGCGGGCAGTCGTTGCTCCAGTGCCCCGTCTTGTAGCAGTAGGTGCAGATATTTGTTGCGGGGGAGGGTTTGGGCGGAGCGCGGCTGAAGTAGTACGAGTACAAGCTAAAGGGGGTGCCGCATGTGCGGGGGGGCTTAGGGGAGTGGGATGGTGGGGGGGAGCGTGAGAGCATGTTTGCAAAGGCGAGGGGGATGGTTGTGGCGGAGGGTATGCGAGTGGTGGGGGAGGAGGACGAGGACGAGGTTATGGCTGTGGTAGTGTCTGAGGGGGAGTTGTTTGTGAGGGTGTAGGTAGAGGTGGGTGAGGCCATTGCTGTGGGGTGGTCCGAGGAGATGGGTGGGAAGGGGGGTGTTGATGGTCGTCGTGCTGGTGAGACGCCCATAATGTACTTTGGTGATGGAAGGCGCGCGCAACGAAAGCAGCGAAACGGACAGCGCTGATTAAACTTTCTCGCGATGGATAATAAGAGCAGAGGGGCAGTGTCTGTTCGGCAAGATTTGGAGTGCAAGAAGGGATTTAGCAGCCTACGCAACAGTCCAGTAACGACTTGGTAAGACTCCACTGTCATGCCGACTGTGCTTGTCAACGACGTTCTAGAACGGGTATAGAGGGAGGAGAAGTAAGAGGCTACCATGGGTTTGAGGTCCCCTTGTCGTTGTCGAGTCGTCGGTCTGCCAATTACTTGCAGCGCATTACCACATATCCACAATAACGTACCGATACATCCAGCTCTATTTTCCTACTCAACCTCTTCCTTCTTGCGCTCAAGCATTGCCAAAGGTGATTATTTCTAACCTGTGGTACGGAAAAGCTCAAAACAAGAGCGTGCATACCTTTGTGGAAAGATAACTCTAAAAACAAGACACTTGAAGTTGATGCCAGCGTATGAGCGCTTAGTTGCCATGAAAAGCCTATCATTGTGAGTACTCTGGTAGCGGAGGAGACTAAAAAGAAGATAGCAAGCACCGTTTGTAATGTATCCACGAGACCCCCCAAAAAAGATATAGCCAAAAGAGAAAAAAAAAGGGCAAAAATATGGGATCTCTCCAGCGGAGAATCGAACTCCGGCCTCCCGCGAACTGTCACGAATGACAAGCGGAAATACTGACCACTATACTACTGAAGATATGTTATGATCTTAGTCGATCACTGTGTGACCGAGTTGGGTGATTGCTGTCCACTAACCAGGGGACTGAACAATTGGTTTTGTGGTGATTGATGACCAAATCCCGATTTGGGCTGTTTATAATGTGAGTTCAAAAAAAAGAAAGTGAATAAGCGCCTGGGACTGGTTGGGTCGAGTCGAGGAATGACAGCGGGGTAATGAGTAGTGGAACCGGTCCAGCCCAATGGCCAACTCAGCCTCATTACCCACTCACTTACTACATACAATGCCTACAATCACACTTGGCGACACATCTCGCTCCCACAACAACAGAAAGCGCTGTCCAAGAAGTCTGGAGCGTTTCGTCGTCTCTTCAACTCGCTGCCATTCCATGTTCGCTCGGCCTGCAGTACAAGTGCCAGCGTTCTAAGGAAGACATGACTGACTGCCAAAAATCTCACCCTACCTTCCGACAGGTTGCAACGAGAAAAATAAAAACGCTGGTGAGTAAGGGCTGTAAAGTACGCAGACGGTGAGTAAGGTGCGGTGTGGCTGCGGTCTATGACTAGGATAAGCGTGCCTGCATCGTAAACCAGGTCCGCGGGTCGGCTTCGAAAAAGCGTGCCGCGGATGTTGGCACGGAAGGGAAAAAGCCGTGGTTTTTGAACACGGGTACTTGTTGGACAATTTGGAATTGCTGCAAAGGAGTGCTTAATATAGCGGATGGCAGTTGAGCCAACTTTATCTTTGCTTCGCGTGTTAGGGTAACCCTTGATCAGAGTGGGTTCATCAAGTTGTTGGAAGGGTTGAGAAGCGACTATCGTGAACGTATACCCGACAGACCCCATTCCCAACGAATGTGTTGATAAGGCGTTGATGATGTGCATGTTGCTTGCGTAAGAATCAGAATAGGCTGCATCTGAGTAGCGAGTCATTCAAGACCAAAAGACATGGAAATAGTACAGCATCCCCGTGACGTAGGGTTTGTACAATGCCACGATGTAGCGCTTAGCTACTACGTGTGTGAGGCGGTGCATCTGTTGCAGACCTGGAGACTTTGAGGCACCACCAAATTGTAACATGACTTTTAAAGCAATCAAGCCGGGTGTAAAGTATAAGGCTCTTCCGTGTATGAAGTGGTTGTTCGAATCGTATGCTTATTTGCGAGATCATTTCCTGAAACAATCGTAAATGGACTCTGGATGAAGCGGCGCATCGAGGCAGACTGGTTGTGCCATAACGCATAGCCCTACCATGCTACCATGTTCAAAGCCCGTCATGTAGCAATGTCGGAACAATTGGGACAACAGTGAGGAGCCGACAATTCGTGATAGAAGAGACGACATCATCTATCTCACCGGCACGCTCCCTACCGGAGATGGTAAGATGACACAGTGTGTTAGCGTTGCAACCGAAGAAAGAAAGATGGTGGAGGAGCGGTGACCCATAGTAAGCTGTACCTTCGCGCAGAGTGCGGCGCGGTCAGCGAGATTGAGCACCCATCGGGAGAAGGCTTGGCTGCGACGCGCACTCGAATCTGGGGATGCCCTGTCTGGGCGATGAATAAAGAGGTGCGGGATGCTAGGTCAAACATGGTGCTTTGATGGATGTTGGAGCGGTAAAGTCACGGTATTGACTTGTGTAAACGGACAAGAGCGCTCTGACACGAGTGCAGGAAAGCGCACAAATTGTCGTCAATTGGCAAGCGCAGACAGGGGAGCAGTATGCAGAGCAGAACGACCAGTGGCTGAGTCTATATGCAGGCGTCCTCCGCCTCAGTGAAGTACGAGCATGTTGGCACCTTTGAACTCGACCGCTCGTTAGACCACACTCTCGTTTTCGTTCTGCTCATATTCAATCGAAACTGTAATTCCTCGTCGTCGCTCGTTATTGCTCGTCTTATCGTCGGAACCACTGCTCTGTGCACCTGCCTCGGCTTGACCCGCACTCCACATCGCAGCGATCTGCCCGCGTCAGGCTGAATCCGAGTACAGGGCGCAAGTGAGCCTTATCTGCCTCTTTCAAACTAAGTGGTCGGCGAAAAGTCACTCGTTTATCCATCGCTTTGCGCTGCATGAGGGTATCTTATACATCGCTCGTTGGTAGGCACTGCGAGAGCGCAATTCAGGAACGCCAGGCACCACCTGAATCGCCGGCAGGCCCACCCCGCCGTGGAAGGCGCGAATCGCCGATTCAATGCGCTCTAGCAACGAGAGCTACATCCACATCAATGAGAGCAGCCGTGAGCGGCAGGAGGGCACGCCATGGTACTGGAAGCTAATAGCCCTGACTGCATCGTGGATGATACTGGGCGGCTATCTTCTGCTACCCGGCCTCTACGCTAAAAACTACGACCTCAAGTTTGGCCAGCCAGTCCTGTCCGTGTTCATTGCCGCACTCCTCACGGCGGGCTACTCGTTCACAGCGCTGCTCTGCTTCGCGTGTCGCAATGAGATCTTCCAAGCAGAGAGCGTGTTCTTGTAAAACGCCCAAGACCACCCACATGAGCCAGCGCATGCTAACACAACACACAGACCCGCCCTCACTTCCTCCGCCCTGGGCCTCGTGACCATTGCCTATAACTTTCTCTCCTCGCACGCCTACGAGTGGGACACCTCTGCCATAACCGGCACCGTTCTCAGCACCACGACGACGCTCCTCTACGGCGCCCTGCTCCTCTGGACCCACGGCCGCATCGTCAAGATGAAGGAGCAACAAGGCCCGCGCGCAAACCTCTACTCGGAGCAATCGTACTACCGCAACTTCATACCGAACATGTACCCCACCACGCGCTCGCCGTCGCAACTAAGCGACGCCGCCGTCACCGAAGACGACCGCGTAAACCAACAGATGGCCCGCTTGCTCATGACGAAGAATGCGCAGCCGAGCCCCGATGCGAACAGCGCAACCTTCAGGATCGACCTGCCGGAAGATAGGGAGCTGCAGGAACGGGTTGCGCGCAGTCAGGAGTTGGTGGGCACGCCTGCGCAGACACACGGTGACTGGAATTGCGGCCGAGCGGATAGCAGGCCGGACAGCCTCAGCGAGCAACAGGCGTGGCAACAGTGGCAAGGCCGCGGACGGAAAACGAATCGGCCACCGAGCACAGGCGGGCGGAGCAATCACTCGAGGAATGTCAGCCGAGAGGAGCGGAGAATAGAGATTGAACTTGGACGCGTATGACTTGTTCGTCTCTATCGCATCTTTGATTACGCAAAGGGATAGCGTGCGTGTTGCTAGTTTGGTTTCTCCGGAGTTTCCTAGTCCAGACCTTAATATGTGGGTAAAAGGGATTTAATACGGGACCACTGTACATGTTTGCATGATTTTCTTTTGCATACTCGGGCGGAGCCAGACATGCCCTACCTTAGATATATATATCAGTACTGTGGATTAGATATCACTACGGATTACAGAACGCGAATTGAAAACCCCATGCTCATTGCAGAAGAAATCATGTCGTTTCGTTACGGCTGCTTGTCCGTGCATATCACCCAGTTTCCGGTCTTACTCAAAGAATAGTCACGAGCAGTCAATCATCCTAGTCGTAATGTATGCTAGCCGTGGGAGTTTTAAAAGACTGGTGTCTAGACCTTGATAGCGAACTGCTTCAGGTACTCGTAATGCTCGACGTTGGCTGCAACCGTGTCGCGAATGACCTTTGCGCCCTCTTCGCCGAACTTATCCGTCCACTCCGCGAAGAGCTGCTCGTCAGTCTTTGGCGTCTTCTTCTATTAGGAGTTAGCAATCTGCCACAAATACATCTACTTCATCGTATAGACTGAAACGGGTGCAACATACGTGTGTCCTCGCCCTCAACCGATCACTATCCAGCGCATCCTCATGAAACCCCTTCCACTTCTCAAACGCCGCTTTTGCGAGCTCCTGGTCCTTTTCTGTATCCCAGATCAACATCTTGGGGTCCCACTCAATGCCCGTGGTCTTGCAGAACGCCTCGACGATACCCGACGGGTTGTCAAGCAAATCATCTGCATCGATGACGCAGATCTCGACGCCGCCGCTGTGGCCGTTGACCCCGTTGGCATGGTCGGCGTCAGTTTTGCCAGCAGACTTTGAGCCAATCTGACCCTCACTACGCAGGTATTCGAACAAACGGCGGAGTTCATCATACCCAGCTTCATCGGGACGGAAGTTGTAGAAACCGGTCAACTCGTCTAGCGGCGGGACCGTGCAGCGGTAGTAGCTCGGAATACTAAACTTGGGATGGCGGATCAAGAAAGTGAAGTGATAGGTCGCCAGGAGATCGGCGGGGATAACGGTGGGATTGTTGGGCTCACCCTTGGTGTCGTAAGGATAGAGTGGTTTGTTGGAGTCAGTTCTGGTTTGGACGGGCGAGAGGGCCGTCGTGTCTGTTCCGACGCCGCGCTTGTAGTTTGCTAGCGATGGGGCGACTGTGGCGGGCTTTCCGTTGGGGGGTATCCAGTATTGGGCCATGTCTTTGATAAAGGCGCGCTTGCCCTGCTTGATATGAGTACTCGCCTCATGTCGTGCAATGGTAAGGTGAAAAAAAATAGCATGAAGAAAAGAACACAAAAGAATGCCATCCTCCATCAATCCCAGCGTGGAAAAAGAGAGAAGTGTGCCATGACTGAATTCCTAGACCGATGCTGGTGTACTCCATGCTGGGTTGGATCTCGATGTTGGTTCGCGAGAGTATGTGAGAATATAACCCAACGCCTTCTTGAAGCGTTGCCTAGCGAATGGAAGTGCTTCTTCTTCGCGCAATGTAGCCACAAATAAACGTCAAGTAGTGGGGTTACCGGAAAGGGCACGCGACATGCGATGACGACGAACCAGATTGGAGATAGATAACGAGATATTGATTAGAAGTGGTGTGATGTTGAGACGGAGATGCAGTGAGCAGCAAACGGAATGTGGAATGCCGATTCGGGTAACAGAACATGGCCTACCTCTGAGTTCTCTCTTGCGATGCGATCGAAGATGGTTCGGTATGTGCTCTCGGCGTATCCGCTCGCTTTCCTCGCTTCTGCGTCATTCTC